GTGTAGACCAGAGGATCCCAAAGCGAGGGCCATTGGGCCTAAGGGGGGCCGTAGGGTACATACTGTGGGGTCATGGAGGAATATGTAAATTATGTCGTCGAATTAAAATGAGTTTTATCTCACCTCTAGTGCCTCCATTTGACTATCTCTCATATGTCAGTATAAATTAAAATCTTTCCATAAGTGTTCTTGTCCAGTAGCTATTGGCGCGATTACAGTATTCATAAAAAAGTAATAACGGAATCTGGAAAGATGACAGACACTGTTATAGAGATTATTACATGTTGGTCGGCGGCCACTAGTGTAGACCGTTGGCCCCTCAGGATGCTTTACCTAACCTCGTGCCGTTGACTGAACTCGCTGAACTTAGTAGTTTTCTTTCTTTCTTTTTTAGGTAACAGCATAGTTCCATCTGGCAGACGAATCCTTTCGTTTTTTTATCCTATTAATCAAATTCTACTTTACTTTGTTATCGTCTTTGGTAAATTGTAAGGATGTTTTAGTCATAGTTGTTATGAAATCCAATTGTGAGTAGTATTCTCTCCAGGAATGCAAGGGACACTGGAGAGGCTTGGCACTAATCCATCGCTGTTAGTTTTGGCGTGTTATTCGAACAACTGACAGGTGAAGCAGTATCACTCTATGTGTATTTATTGCTTAGTATACTTGTTAAGAGCACCACGTAATGTTTGAAAAAAATTGTGAATCAGTACTCGTAGTTTGTTGTGGTTTAAAATATCACTCTCCAAAGTTGGGTTCGCTGCCACAGTACACAGTTTCGGAAGCGATGTAAATATCAGGGAGTCTAAAAGAGAGGCAGCCTCCTTGGTAAATATAATGTGAAGGTGCGCGTTCTAGCTGCGCCCAAGTTCGCTTGTACCTAATAAAAATGAATTTCAATTTCAATTGATTCATATTAACTCGAATCTTTTTTTTTATTTCCTTTGAGTGAATGAGTTTGAATCCTTATATATATAATTTTCGAACCGCACAACGAAGCAGTGGTGGTGTGCGCTATGATCTTCGTATCTTAATAAAGTTTTAAAAAAGTCGTGAAAAGTTTGTATTTGTAATTCTAGATGTTTTTCCTAACTTTGGATTTTGTCTACATTGCAAATCAGAACTAATTAGTAGTTTATCCGTTCGTATATCTTAAACGAATCCCACTCTTAATATCAGAAATTGTGAGAAGAAAGTTTCTACTTATATTTATTTAAGTGATTATAACAGCATGTAGAATGTACATGCGTCAAGCCAAAATAAATAAATAGACGAATAGATGGGTTTAACATAAATACGATGCACTTCAACCTTCTCCTTATATTGTGATCATTCTCTTGTTTTCGGATGGGTATTTATGCGCAGCCCTTTTTCATGGATTGCAAGACATACCTAGGCACACATTTGGCCATTTTGCACGGCGAGGAGGAGGGATGACAGAAAAGTGAGGCTCCCGCAAACCGCACAGACACGGAACAAGCGCGACCTTGCTGTCTTGACCAGAATGACGTCATCAGAACCACAAGCAGGGGTATGCACGCGGGTCGACTATTAGTACTGTGCATGTATGAGTGAGGTGCGGAAACTTGTCAGAAAGCCTTCTAGTGCAGTCGTGTTGTTACATGTGGTTGATGTATTCGCCGTGTATTGACTTCGCCTCGTGGGATTACGGAGATGTGACCGATAACGCGCAAGATCGTACGGCCGGTTTGTTAGAATTGTGCGAGGCCCGACCCAGAGAATACTCGTGTACTTGACATGCATAAATAAAGAAATAGATGCACATTTATCTGGCTAGACATGCATATCAACCCGGCAAAGAGATGGTTAAATGTATATCTATCAGATGTATAGACAAATATGTCTTTATTTCTGTCTCTTTATGAAAATTCATTGGGTCGGGCCTGGCACATTTTTAACAAACCGGCTGATAGTCAACAGCTTCGTGAGATGATTTACTCTCCCCCACAAGCCTCGACATTGTTTAATTAAATGGCGCTGAGAAGTTTCAGAGGGGGCGGATATCCTCATGGAGACCGTATCAACACGCACGCGGCTCCAAGTGACGCAACGGCTCAGTGTAAGAATGTTCGCACTTGCCCATGAATCAATTCAAGCATGTACAATGAATCAATCTCTCTCTCTCTCTTCCTCTCCCTCTCCCTCTCCCTCTCCCTCCCCCCCTCCCCCCTCCCCCCATTTATATAAAATTTCTAAAACTAGGAAATGGCTTTGTTTCAGGAGCAAATTGCATTAGGAATGGTGTCCCAGGGATACGCCTTAGCCATGCCCAAGCTGCATGTAGGGAGATCCTTGGCAGTGAGCTGGAAGGTATAAGGGCAGCTGGCACGTGGAAGACTGAGCGAGTCATCACGTCGAAGCAGGCTGTCAATATCAGTGTCCAGGGCCAGAGTGGACAAGTTCTCAATTTCTGTGCCAATAATTATCTGGGCTTGTCAGTAAGTTCCTTTTGTTTTGTTTTATCTCTTCTTCTTTTATGGATATATCGGTAAAAAAAAGATAGGGTTCGTATGTATCCTCCTCTTTTGGTATGTTTTTTTTCTTTTATTTGCGTAATTACAGGTACGTAACACCGATTTTAATGTTCGTGGGAAAATAAACAACTGGTTATTTGGTTTTCATAAAAAGAATGTTTCATTCCATTTCAGAGTCATCCGGAGGTAGTCCAAGCTGGAAAAGAAGCTCTGGATAAATATGGCGCAGGACTATCATCTGTCCGTTTTATTTGTGGCACACAAGACATACATATGGTAAGTAGGTGGTTGGGGTTGCCTGACTAAACACTAAATATAACCAAGTGATATATTGTGGATATTTGGTAAGATGTGTTATTATTTTCTTTAATAGTCTGTGATTATGGCTAACCGTGACTCTTTTCAATACGCAGTTGTTGTTTTGTGATGGGTATTGTGTAATTTCAGGAACTGGAGGAAAAGATTGCAAAATTTCACGGTCGTGATGATGCTATATTGTATGCCTCATGCTTTGATGCAAATGCAGGGCTCTTTGAAATCCTTCTTACTCCTCAAGATGCAGTGCTGTCTGATGAATTAAACCATGCATCCATCATTGATGGTATCAGGTTGTGCAAGGCTCAGAAGCACAGATACAGACACAAGGATATGGAAGGTTAGGTTTCCCTTTTTCTTCATTTTGCTAGTTTTTTTTTCTGTATTATGTGGAAAGCTTTAATTGCTGACTGTAAGTAAACATTTCAATACATTCACATTTAAATTTGTTTCAACTCATTGTAATATTAATTCTGCCCTTAGATCTTGAGGCCAAGTTGCAGGACTGTAAAAATGCTCGCATGAAATTAATTGTAACTGATGGAGTGTTCAGTATGGATGGAAATGTTGCCCCACTACCAGCCATATGTGAACTAGCAGACCGATACAATGCCATGGTCTTCATTGATGAATGCCATGCCACTGGATTTTTTGGAGCAACTGGAAGGTATGATATAGAATATTGTGTATGTGAAAATTAAGTATCCTCTTGCCCTGTCATAAATTAGTCAGTTGTTACTTCAGAAACAATTATGTTGAAAATAAGGTTTCTTTAACAATAGGTAATATGAGTGTTTAGTAGTACTTCATTTTGAAGGACTATTTAAATTTATCTTTATTTCATGCTAATACCACAACTATTCACACAGCAGATAATTTATTTTATATTGCTATGTATCACCAAAAGAGGTATCTTGTTTTTTAGGGGAACAGAAGAACACTTTGGATTGCCTCCTGGTCGTGTTGACATCATCAACAGCACCCTTGGGAAAGCCTTGGGAGGAGCTGCTGGTGGATATACAACAGGTCCGAAGGAACTTGTTACTCTTCTTAGGCAGCGTGCAAGACCTTACCTGTTCTCAAACTCAATACCTCCTCCAGTTGTAGCTTGTGCAAACAAAGTTAGTGTCATATTTCAAAAGTATAATTCAAAATACATAAATGAGTTTTGTAAAATATCACTATGGTTGGGTAGTTTGGAGAAACTTTATATTTGCACAATATATTCAACTTTATTATCAATAATTTTCTTTCTTTATAGGTATTTGACCTTCTTTTAGGGAGTGCAGGATTTGCAGAGAAAGTCCAAGCTAATACCGATAGATTCCGATCACAGATGACAGAGGCTGGTTTTACTATTGCTGGGGAGAATCACCCCATCTGTCCTGTCATGCTAGGAGATGCTCGGTTGGCTTCACAGTTTGCTGATGCAATGCTCGGTAAGTTTTCATTTTTATGAACTGCTGCGATATTGTCCATTATTTGATATTTGTATCATGTGTATCATTTGCAGAATAAATTTCAGGAAGGAGTATTTAATACTTTTTTTTCTTTCTTTTTAGCTAAAGGCATATATGTGATTGGCTTCAGTTATCCAGTAGTGCCAAAAGGCAAAGCAAGAATCAGAGTGCAGATTTCAGCATCCCATTCATTTGAAGAGGTGGATTATACAGTTGAAGCATTCAAACAAATTGGCAAGGAATTAGGTGTTATTAGCTGAATATGTCTGTTCTTTGGTATTACTCTTATCAAAAGGGGTTAGCAACTTTTGTTAGATTATCTAAATAAAATGTTCATTGTTATATGCCTTTCAATTATTGAACATGACAATAATACAAAGTGTCAGTGGCCTTGCCTGCACTACAATCTCTGCTTACATCATCTTACAGACATGTAAATGATCGTCTGCAGCAGGTAAACCACTCACTCGTCTTTAATTTCACTGCCACTTTCGTCATTTGCTTTAAAATAACAAGGAAAAAAGTTTTAAAACTAATGTTTAATTTTCACAAAATTGAAGTGAAATTACACCATTTAAAATGGATTAACTAAATTCCTGAAGAGCAAGTGAATTAAAATCTTGAGTACTATGAAATTAAAATATCAATTTCAGTATCACAAGTTATTAAATTAAATAGTAAAAATTAGTAGTAGTACAAAAACAAACAGGTGTGCAAAATAAAACCACACTTTCGTTCAGCACTTTTACATGACTTTATTTTCAGATACAGCTTTGATACCTCTACACTAATTGTTTGGATATATCCTAGGCATTTTATGTACAGGTTATAGAGGAATGTCACTAGTGCTTTCTAGACTATTCAAAATTCTCTTATAACTGCACAAAAAGTTAAAATTCTGTATTATAAGGTATGACACCAAGTTTACAAGAAGTATAAATAAGCATTTAACCCTTATGTGATCATAATAAAAGAAAAAACAATCTAAATAAAATTCTACAAATGACTTTCCCTCCACAAAAATACTCCTATTACCAAAAGAGGGACTTTGGCTTTTATATGAGAAGAGAGAGAGGACCAGGTTCCCCTGTCTTGTATGGCTACAAGTGACTTTCTACTCCCTCTGGCTGAAAGGTGATATCTGTAATGTGATCTACGAGTCATATGTCCCCCGCACTTTTGAGGATGCCATTCTCCATGATTTGAACAACAAAAATTTATCTCCACTCCTTCAGTGCAATTTGTAATCACAGAATAACTTTTAAAAAAATGTTTTTATTTACAAGAATCATAAGAGCATATAGGATAGAAATTCAAGTGTACAGTTAGATACATCAAATAGACAATGCTGTTGCCAGCTAAGACTTTAATACATATCTTATTGATTTCTCTTGTGGTTAAAACAGGGATTTCATGATTTATTTACTTATTACATTTAGTTAAGATTTTACTCTGAGGGATCTCTTTAAGCAAAATAAATAATAAATGATGATACACATACCAACTACTAAGCCTCTTAATAGTAATGAGAATAATGACTTTTAAGATGAAAAAATAATAAAAACTAATAAAATAAAATTCTTTACAAACAATGAATATTGATACAAAACAAACTAACAAAACAAAAATAATACCAGTAATAATAATACTGACAGTATTAATTCATAATTCATAAACAAAAATAAGAGTATTGTTACAAAAAATATGAAAAACAAAATCTATAAAAGAAAACATATAAACATAAATGCAGATTTAATCATCATTTATATGTCATTAAAATAGTGGAATGAGCTCTTAACTGACCAATTCTCAAGGGCCTTCATAAACATTCCTTTTACAATTCACAATGAAATATACTGATCTAAATCTTTTGCACTCAGAAGTCAAGAGAAAATTAGAACCTTTCAAGATATTTAGGCTAACAATGAGAAAAAGAGTCCATTTAAACCTCATATGCACCTGTTTATTTTTAATCATTCTTTCTGTGTGTATCTCATCAACACATTCACTCACTCATTTGTTCTGCTCACTCAGCTAACGCATCCACTCTCCCACTAATTCATTTCTACTTGGAGAACGATCAGGAAGAATAATAACTTTTCTAAATTTAAACAATGGTATTCTCCTTTTGTCATTTTTCCTATGGCTGTTTTCCTTTCTAGTCCTGACCCCTCATTTCTGAACAGTTTCACCCCATGAGAGAAGTAAATGAGGTTCTGCATACATATTCCAGCTATATGCACACTTTTCTCCGCTTTTCTTTCCCTTGCAATCTCTTGTCCACTGCCTGAATCTTTCTCAAAGCCTAGTGTATCCTCTTCTGTATCACCAACCCTGATCAACTCAATATTTAATTTAAGAAATCAATTCTCAACTTTGAAAGCAAAAGAAAAAAGAATTTTGTACATTTTGTTTTGCTTACATGTACTTTTTATTTATTTTTTATATATATCTTTATCAATCTGCAAGCATAGTACTTGCCTGATCACAAAATATGACCATGCAGTAATAATACAAATGTTTTTTTTCATTTTCATTTAGGTAAATAATTTTTGTATGACAGGACGGGCACATACAAGACGACTTTGAGTACTATCTAATAATGATACACAGGGCCAAATCCTTAAACAGCCTTATATAGCAGCAATAGAAAAAAGAGAAAAAAGAAGAGAAAATGAAATCAACATCTAAACCAATACTTTAAAAGCAATCTCAATAAAAATATATATCCATGATATCGATTGCTTTCAGTTGTTTAAGAATTCAGGTTTGTCTGAGCATAATCACGCTACAGAGGGGGGATAGCTTCCTAAGATCATTAGCTTATCACAGGTTTCTAGACTTATTTTAAGTTATCCTACAATGACTTCAAAACTCTCATAATATTTCCAACATAAGTTATCAACATCTTAAAGTATCATGATCTGCATTTTGATCATTCAAGATTGTTGGTGATGTCTCCTTAATATACATAAAATATAATTATATAATACTTACCATCTACTGTGAACATCAATTATTTATGCAAAAGAATCTAATATCCATTATACAATGTCTAGTCTTCATAACATTTATGAGACCAGGGCAAATGCTCTTAAATAGATACAGTAAGACAAAGAAAGCTGACAGAAGAGACAAAATCATTCACTTTATCAACACAGTATGTGTGTCAAATCTTGATTACCCTTCTATTATCCATTCATATTAAAGGTTATCTGAATTTCTAAATATCTGATATTATTTAGCTACTGAACTATGGAAATTCAAAGACTCTTAACCTGACTACAGACCAGTAATCACTTTCCAGCCTACTAAATTATGGCATCAAATTCTTTATCATATTCTCAAAATTCAGTACTTTGGATACAGAAGGATAACATAAAACTGAAGATATTGAAACCAAATTTGATTTGACTGGCAAGTGTGATCCTGAAAGGATATTATTATAAAAGTTTCACAAGTCATATTACTAAACTGCAAGTTCTGTAAAAGAAAAGAAGAAAAATTGTGGAATTTGTTAAAACTATGTAGAAAAAAAGAGTAAGGTAACAAGTATTTGGGACTATCAAGATCACCAATTCCTTGACAAACAAGTTCAGATTGTCGGTAAAGATCCAAGCCAAAGGTTCATTCATACACTACAATGCATGCAATGATGGTCACTAGAAGTATGTATATATCTAGTCTATCTTCCTTCTCCCGACCACCTGAAAAGAATTTGTAACAGACAAACAAGGGTAGACAACACATACATTTTACCAAATTTCATCAAATTTATAGAGGTCCCTCAATGAGACTGATCTTCATGGAACAATAGTAGACAGTTCGATAAAAGAGGATTAGGGACACCAGGAAGGCCACTGCAATAAGAGAAAGGAGAGAAGATTAGTAACTTACATTAGTTCACAAATGAAAGCAACAAAATTCATATTTACATGTACTACATTTCAAATGTTATAACAATGTTGTTTTACAATTAAAGAAATAACTCACCAATATATGCAACATAGATGCCAGGATAACTAGCTGTATAACTGAGAGTTGTGACAGTAAGAGCAATTCCTATGCCCAAGAAAACCAGGGCGAAGACTACAAATACAATCCCTCGGCATCGTGCAAATTCTGGCCCAACCGATGAACTGCCAAGAAGAGAACATCAAAGTTAAAATTAGTTTTTTTTAACACCATTTCAACACCATAAATATGGCTGACAAATCACTTTCAAGAAGATAATGAATAAAGAAATATCAATATGAGACTTTTACAGTAAATGCATATACTTACACTTTCCTACAATGTGGACATCTAGCAAGGGCATTGTTAAGAGTGTTAAACTGCAAAAGAAAAATAAGAGTTAATTTACATTTTGAAAAAGTCAAAGGATTATAGGAAGAAATTATATGCAAATGAGAAGATACATTAGGAAAGAAATAAAGTGAGTGAGAGAAGTTAAGAACAAGACAAGGGATTGTAAAAAAACAGACATAAATAAAATAAAAAATAAAAAGAAAGAAGAGCAAACAAGATATAAGACAGATTAAGCATGAGAAGGAAGAAAGGTGACACAAAAGAAAAAAATGAATAACCATTCTCCAAACAAATATATGAAAAATATAGTAATGCCTTGCAGATTAAGCTAAAGAAATCAACAATTATTGTACATGAAATTTACAAATTCTCCTTTTCAGATTACAATGTAACTGTATACCTTCAATCTTTACTATAAATGCAATTATGTCCCTAAAAAGCCCATTTCTATGTAAAAGGGAATGCCATACACCACATGAGCTGGCCTTGTAGAAATTCCATAACCATATAGTATCCTAAAATAAGTGAAAATAATCCTTACAATGAAAGTGTCATGGCAGTGCGCACATGTGACGCGGCACATTCCCGGCACATTGGGCAGAGACGGGTTGACAGGAGAGGGTGACAAATTGATGATCCTCTTGCAATTGGGCCGGGGACAAGCTATCCGCTGGGAGGAGCTCTTACAAATCAGGAGACAATTACATGGGCAGCGGACATACTTCTTGCCTGGAGGAGCATTCTTTATGGGCTGCAAAGTGGATTTGAAAAAGGACATGTTAGTAACAAAGAAACCAGAACATATTAGCTGAATGTCCAATCAAAGTTGTTCAAACACAACATTCCTAGCTTTCCTCCTGCATCACCTTATCTACTAACAACAGAACAAACTACAGTAGCGCTTACTGTGGCTTCGTTGCATTGGGTGCACTTGACTACATGCTGGTCAACTTTCCCAGAAATGTCAATCATTGCTTGACAGACGCGACAAGTGACCATGGGGACCCCCGATGACGATGGGGTGTATGGAGGTGGTAGTTCATCTGGACCAACTGGCGACACCAAAGTGCCTTCACTACTTCCTGTTGTGGAGGAGGAAAGGGTTTATGGTAACTAAAATCCAAGTTCATGAACCCACAATACAAAATAATAATGAGGGGGGATGTGTGTTTGTGTGTGTGTGCCTGCCTGTATGTGTAAGTGTGCCTGTGTGTGTGTAAGTATGCCTGCGTCTATAAGTATGCCTGTGTGTCTTTGTGGTGTGTGTTGCTTGTATCCCTCTGTGTGTGTGCCTGAGCGTGTGTGTGTTGTGCCTAAAGCGTGTGTGTGTGTGTTGGTGCCTTGCGTTGTGTGGTGTGTGCCTTTCTCGGTTGTTTGTGTGTCGTGCCTTTCCGTGTTTGTCTGCTTGACACCGCTTGCCTGTGCTATGTTTGTACCCTATGAGTGTGTTGCCTTCATGATGTTGTTGAGTTGTGTGTCAATAACATTAACTGGTTGTGTCCTGTGGTCCTATGGGCTTTGCGCATGTAGTTGTTGTGCCATGTTAATTACATAAGATATCATGTTTTTGTGTGTGTGTGCATTGTAAATCAGATCTCTAACAATAAAAGTAATGATAAATCACTATTCTTGTGGCGTTGTGTTTGTTGTGCGTTTAATATAACATCCACATACACATAAATATAATAATAATATCATCAATTCATACTATAATATATTCTGTGTCGTATATGTGTGTTATGTGGTGTTATGGGTGTTTGTTATGTGGTGTGTGTATGTTTGTCTACACTTCATTCATCAATCTATTGTTGTGTGACGTCAAATGATGTGTTGTGTGCTGTATGTGTCTGTGTGGTATTTCTGTCTGTGTGTATGTGCTGTGTGCCTGTACTCCCTCTGTGTGTGTCATCTCTGCATGTTGTGCCCTCGCATTGTGTGGTGCCTTTGCGTGTTTGTACGCTCTGAACGGTTAAATTCTGTTACAGTTCGTGTGCTTGTGCATTGTGATTTGTTGTGCAATGTGTGTGTGACTATACTTTTATTGTTGGCTTCAATAAATACGGTTGTGCTCACAGTGTTGTGTGAACTGTGTCATTGTGTGATTTTGTGTGTCCCTGTGGTGTTTTTGTTGTTGTATGTGCACATGTACCCTGTTTTTCGTATGTTGTACCTGTGTGTATGTTACCTTGGTTATGTTGTGTGCCTGCTGTGTTTGTTATGTGTGTGCCTTGGTGCTGATGTTGAGGTGTTCCTGTGTTGTGATGTATGTGTGTGTTGCCTGTGTGTGTTGTATTTAGTGTGCCTGTGTGTGTTATGTGGTGTGGCCTTGTGGTGTTATGTTGTGTGCCTTGTTTGTATGAACACTTAGTTATACTATGAATGTTGCCTCGTGTAACTATTATCATATTGGTTGAGTGTTGCCTGGTGTGTGTGATTATAATGACAATATATATCTGTGGTGCCGTTGTGCTGTGATGTGTCTGTGTGTTCTGTGACTAAACAACCTCACAATATTGTTGTCGTGTGTGTATGTGTATTTGTGTGTTACGTTATGTGTGTCGTGTGTTTTCTAACTTTTTGTGTGTATGTGTGTGCCTGTAGTGTGTATGTGTTGCCTGTGTGCAATCAAAACACACTGTCGATGTATGTGCTGTCCGTGTGTGTGTGTTATGTGTTGCCCTGCTGTCGATACAATTGTATCGTTTGTATGTGTTGCCTGTGTGTGTTGTATATGTAGTTCCTGTGTGTTATGGTGGCCTGTTGTTGTCCTCTTTGTATGTGCTGTGTCGCCATACTTCACACAGATAGTGTAGTCGTGTATGTATATTGCCCTCTGTTGTTGTGTGTGGTCCTCTGTGTGTCCTTATAATTTGTCCCTGTGTGTGTGTGTGATAAAAAATCACTGTTGTTGCGAGTGTGTGCTGTGGTGTGTCAATGTTGTTGTTATCACATTTAACTCCATACAATGACTATTATATTATTATACACTTGTGTGTTGCCTTTGTGTGTATGTGATGTGCCTGTGTGTGTGTCATTGTGTGTGCACTGTGTGATGTGTGTCCTCTGTCGTGCTGTGGTGTGTTGTGTCTGTGTGATGTGTGTGTGTGGGTTGCATCTATAAGTGTCTGAAGTGTGCCTGTGTGTGTGTGTCATGTGAACAAATCAATCAATAACATATCAAATGTGCCATGTGTGGTAAATACATCTTTTGTGTGGTTATGTGTGCCTCTGTGTTGTGTCTGTTGTGTGTCCTGTTGTGTGTATGTGTGCCTGTGTGTGTTTGTGTATGCTGTGCCTGATGTGATGTTGGTGTTATGTGTGCCTGTGTTTGCATTGCTGTGTGTGTGTGTGTGTATGTGTGTGCCCGGTGGTTGCTGTTGTGTGTGTGAGATGTGTTATGGTTCATATAATATAAACAACCAAATTTCCTGTTCTGTTCGCTCAGGTATGGCTGTAACCTGTGTAGTAACTAAAATCATTGTGTGTTGTTTCGATGGGTGTTTGTGTGTAGTGTGGTATTTCTGTTGAAACTATTCTGTGTATGCCTGTGTGCTGATTGTGTTGTGTGGTGTTGTGTGTTTGTTGACAACACTAATTCATCACTGACAAATATTAAAATAACACACTATGTTGTGTGCAACCGCCGCTATATGGAATAGTTATTGTGTGTGTGCCTTGTGCGTCCTCACTTTCAACATACTTGTTTGCTATCAGTTTAAGGGTAATCATAAACCTTACTCAACGTATCCACATATAATTGTGCCTGCTTGTGCGTGCTGTGGCCTGTGTGTCCTATTTAGATATTGGTGCCTTGTTGTTGTTGTTGTCTGTGTGCTGTGTATCTTATGGGTGCCTGTGTGGTGAATAAACTACTATAGAACCAAATCAATATCATAATCGTGTGCCTGTGTGTGGTGTGGTGTGCCTGTGTGTGGCACAATAATCTTCCTGTTTGTGTGTGATGTGATCCTGTGTGTTGTTGTGTGGTGTTGTGGTGTGTGTGTGCTTGTGTGCCTGATGCATTACTACTTGGACGCCCTACTGTTTTATTGCACTGTGTAAATAACAACCGAATGTTTTTGCCTGTACTGTTGATTTTTTTGTGTGCGTATGATGACTGTGTGGTATGTGTGTACCTGTGTGGATGTAATGTGCTTGCCTGTGTGGGTTGTACGTTTGTTTGCCTGTGTGTGGTATGTGGTTCACTGTGTGGTGTATGTGTATGTCCGTGTGTTTCCTGTATGTGTCCTGTGTGTGTTGATGTGTGCTGAAGGGTGTTGTGTGATGTGTTCGTGCCTTGTGACATCTATGTGCTGTACTGTGTGTGTTGTGTGTGTTGTGTCATGTTGTGTGCTGTATGTGTCGTGTGTATGTGTGTGTGCCTTATGTGTGTATGTGTAATGCCTGTGGGTTGTACTGTTGTGCCTGATTCGTGTGTGTGTATGTGTGTGCCTTTGTGTCTTGCCTGGTGTGTGTGTGTGATGTATTGTTGTGCCTTGTATGTGTGTGCTGTGTGTGTGTGATCATACTGGGATTGTGTTGCGCCTGTGTATCCTACAATCTATTGTAGTGTGTGCTCTGTTGTTATGTGTGCATTGCATATGATAACATCTCACAAATCACAATATGTGCCTCTATCTAAAAAGTTGTGATGTTCTATGTGTGTAATTCATCCTGGTCTAACAAAAACAGAAACATATGTGTGGACGTTCGAATTGAATGCCTCATGATAGTTGTGTTGTTTTGCCTCTCGTTGTGTGATGATAGTGAGTGTGTGTGTGTGTGTGGTGTGTGTGTTGCAAACCATACATATAACCATCATGTGTTGTGTGCCTGTGCTTATGTGTGATGTTTAGTGCCTGTGTGTTGTTATGTGCTGTGCCTGCTGTGTTGCCTGTATGTGTTGGGTGCTGTCCATGTATGATGATGTATGTGTGTGACCTCTGTGTTGTGTTGTATGCCTTCTGGGTGTGGTTGTGTGTGTGTTGCGTAGTGGTGATGCGTTAACAACTCATGCGGTGAGGTTGTGTGTGTTGTGTGCTGGCCTGTTGTGTGTGTGGTATGTATGTGTGTGCCTTGTGTGTGTTGTTGTCGTATTGTGCCTGTGCTGTGTGCTGTATGTGTGTGCCTGTGTGAGTATGTAATATCAATATTATAATCTCGACAAAAAAATGCTGTATGTGTGCGTGTGTGTAGGTCCTTGATGTTGCCGACATAATGCGATACCATACATAATAATAAGACAATATAATACCTATAACCAAAACGTTTGTTGTTGTGTGTGTAATGTGTTGCCTGTTGTGTGTGGTGTAGCTGCTGTATGTTTTGCCTGGTTGTGTGTGTGTATGTGTGTACTGGTGTGTTGATACATTACTATAATACATGTGTTTAATTCCTGTGTGTGTGCTGTTAGTGGCTGTGATGTGTGTTTGTGTGTAAAATAACAAGAAATTTATTCAAGATATCTATGTGTGCCTGTGTATCATCATCACATCTGTATGGCTGTGTGATGTGTCTGCACCGCCTGCTGTCATGTGTGTGCTTGTGCCTTGTGTGCTTGCAATAACCCAAAAAATTAATAACTAACTTCAACACAACTAAATCAGAACAACAATATTATTTTATGCAATTCTATTACACCAAGCCCACATCTACGACTATAAAGCACATTCAAACCATATCAAACAACCATCATCCTGAAACTTATCTCGTGTGTGCGAGTTTGCCTGTCTGGTGCGTGTTGCCCTTGTCGTGCCGCCTGTGTGTAGTGTATGCCTGTGTGTGTGTGTTTGCCTGTGTTGTGAAAAGCTAAAAAAACTTCTATGTTGTGTGACCTGTGTTGTGCTGTGTGTTGTGTGTGCTGTGTGTGTGTGGCTGTGTTGCCTTGTGTGTGTGGTGTGCCTGTTGTTTGATCTAAATTTTGTGCCTTGTGTGTGTGTGTGTGTGGTGAAAAAGACAGTATTGCCTTGTTGTGTGTGTGTGTGTCACGCCTGTCTATGTGTGTGTAGTTGTGTGCCGGTGATGTGCCTGTGTTGCGGTGCCTGTGTGTGCTGTTGTGTGTCTTGTTGGTTCCTGTTAGTAA